GAATGGCTCATTACTTTAAAATACAAGACAACAGAAAGGCTTTGAAAAAAAAGCCCTTTTCCACCCACAACTTACTACTGCAACCACTACTGCTTGCTACTGGCACCCTCCAGTGGTGATGTAGAGTCTTAGCTGTTGATACAAGGCAAGGATGGGGAACACATTTCCACTGACTTGAGTAATGCAAGTGAAGGGTCACACACTTGATGTATGATTTGAAACCACACTAGGTTTGGTTATAGTTAAGTAATAGGAGCAGTATAGGCCAGCTGCAGGAAGTTGGCTTGAGATCAATCAACATAAGATGGCTCCTTATGGAAGTTTTGAGGGTTGTTTGGTTTTCCTTTGCAGGCGAGTTCTGGTCATCAGCCTGCATCTTGCAAATGTCTGCTTCAAGATGCAATAGACATGAGATCCTCACTGCCAGCTTGATAGTCAGTTTAAAGCCAGTCTATGAAGCTCTACAGTGCTTTGAATTTTAAAATGGAAACAAAGGTTAATAGAAATAACAGGAATAAACACCTTTATTTTGTGTTTTACACATTTCTGTTCCTCAGTGACTAACATTGTAGTAACACCGAGGCTACAGGATGTTCCTGGACAAACTGTGTGTCCTCACTGCCACCAGACAGTGATCACCAGGACACAACACACCCCAGGCCTGCTGACGTGGGCTATTTGTGGAGGCCTCGCCTTCTTTGGGTAAATACAACCATTTAGGTAGAGGATTTTCAAACTAAAACTCTAAAAGAGCTGAGACACATCTTTGGTCTTAAGAAAACCTTAACATTACAAGTGCTTGTTTCCACCTATAGGTGCTTTCTTTGCTGCTGTATCCCATTCTGCGTTGATTCCTGTCAAGATGTGGAGCACCACTGTTCATCCTGTGGCAGAGTCATCTACGTTTATAAGCGAATGTGAATCTTGTGATGGCTCTTACCCACTTGACTATGACAGAAATCAGTGGAAGATTTGTAAATCAAGAGATTCAAGCCAAACAACATACCAATAAATACTTTTATCAGCTGCATGTTGTAGTTATGAGTTTTTCTCCTTTGCTCAGATGTGAATTTGGGTGGTTGCTCACGCTGTAATTCAGTATTTAGACATGATATTATTTTGAGATAAATAAATATTGAGTTTATACACCAGATACATTTGCAACATTACAAATACAAAAATTAAATCTGTAAATACTAATAGATTATATTTTTTTCATAACCTTCTTTGTATGTTTTTGTCATATAATTTTATGCCACTGATTACACAATATTTTATATGTATCATCTTTATTGTTTATATTCTGTTAGTATACCTAGTTTTGTATTGCAATACTTGTAATGCGCTTTGAATTACTTAGACACCCAAACTCTTAAACTTATTTCCAAATTATTTCTGTGTAACCAGCAAAACTCAGACAATAAAGGAATATCCTTGGAATATTGTTTTGTGGTAATTAAATGCACAGATAAATGAGTGTGGTTAGGAGGCTAATTTCATAATTGATCTGATGTTGGAATCATCCTGAAAAAACAACATGATTTTGTTTTGTTTGACTGCGGGTTGACTGTGTGATTAAGTGTCTGTCTGACACATAACACACACAATTAATTAATAAACAAACAGATTAACTAATTAACTGATTTTAAATTTTGCACTTTTGTTTGAAGGTATGTTAATTTTTTTTTTAATTAACTTGTGAAAAAAGGGCTAGGGTTACAAAGCCAAGGAATTTTCATTTTGATTATTTGTTTTTTGTTGTTCTTCATGTAGTTCTTCAGCTTCTGACATATTTTTTTTAAATGTTTATCCCCATGTCATCAACAAGCTTCTGGAATAATTCTGCTAATTTGACCAGAATTGGCAGAGTTCAGATAAACTTGTTCGTTTCTAAAAAGGTTGGCTTAGGTCGGGGCTTTGGGAAGAACATTCCAGAAGTTTAATGTCAGCCTGCTTTATCCATGGCTTGTGTCTGGGATCAATGTCCTTTTGGAAGATCCAAATTTCAACTGTTGATTTGATCCTCGTTGAGAGGATGAGATCAATAGGAAGAGGGCCATGTGACACATCAAACTTATTGGTAATGTCACAAGAAAAACAATGGTGTGCTTGGTTTCAACGTAACTTTATTCTTTCATGAGTTATTTACAAGTTTCT